GCAGGTTTAGGAGAGGTGGTGGCAGGACGGGGTGAGGCTGGAAGGGGGGCGCAGGAGTCCGCTCATTGCTTTGTGGTCTCAAGGCGCCTGTGAGGGTGAGAGGCTCTCCAGACCCTTGTCTCCCAAGGGTGCTGTAGTGGGTAACACATTTGGCTGCTAACCAGGTCGGCGGTTCCAACGCCCCCACTGTTCCATGGGAGGAAGATGAGGCAGTCTGCTTCCATAAGGATTATAGCCCTGGAAACCCAATGAGAGTCACTAGGGGTCAGAATTGAGTGGACGGCAGTGGGCATTTCCAGAAAGAATGTGAGCAGCTGCTGGTTCTGGGCAGGTGACTGGCAGGAGTGGGAAGCAGCCCCACTCCCCTGAGAGCAGATTCCTTTCTGTGCTCAGCCGCCAGGTGCCCTGAGCTTCCTGGTGGCTCCGACAAAAAGGGAAAGTGGCCATCTGCCTTGGGGCTGGATCTGGACTCGTGTGTGTGTGTGTGTGTGTGTGTGTGTGTGTGTGTCAGTGTGAGAGTGAGGGCTGTGTTAATGTCTGTCCATGTGGGGTGGTTTCAGTGTGTGTTGATATGTGTGTGAGCAGGTCTGCGTGTGCATGTGTGAGTAGTCTGTCTGATTGTGGGACTGTGTGGGAGTCTGGGTGTCAGGTCTGCGTAGTGTGAGGAGGTAGGGGGACACTGAGGACCTCAACTCCTCACCCCGCATATGGTCCATCTGAACATTATCTCGACCCCAGGCAAGTGACAGTGACACACCTGGAGAGTGAAGGCCGCTCTAGGATGCAGCAGGTGAGGGGCTGGTCCTGAGCAGCAGGCTGTAGGCCTTTAGGACGTGAGGAGACAAGAGGCAGAGGAAGACAGTGGTGTGGCTCTTCCCCACCCCCCTGAGCACCCAGATGCCGGCCAGATCCTGCAGAGCCAGAAAGGGAATGGGGAGGGGCCTTCACCTCTTAGGCCTCCAACCCCCACCCTGCAGAGCCCAGGCCTGCTGTGTCCACCTGGAGCCTGCCCCAGACTGGCTCCTCCCTCTCAGCCTTGCTCAGTGCAGACACTGGTCAACAGCAGGATGGCTGCAGGCAGAGGGCAAAGGTCAGTTCCTGTCCCTTTATAACATGGGGCGGGGCCGGCTGGACAAGCCCTCTGGGTGTGAGGGCCCAGGTCTGGGCCTAGGCACCTGGTTGGGCCTGAGGGTGTCAGGTGTGCCCGTTGCTACCCACGACCTCTGGGAGGTCTGTCAGAGGAGCCTGTCAGACAGGAGGAGAGGCAGCCATGGGGCTGCTGACTGGGGAGGCCCTGATGCC